TCAGTGCTTACAACAGAGAAGGACACGGCATCGCACTCCAGTATTCTTGCCTAGAGAATCCCGTGGACAGAGGGGCCTGGTGGGCTGCTGTCCATGGGGTTGCACAGAGTTGGACATGACTGAAGCGACTTAGCATGCATGCATGCATTGGAGAAGAAAATGGCAACCCACTCCAGTGTTCTTGCCTGGAGAATCCCAGGGATGGAGGAGTCTGGTGGGGTGCCCTCTGTGGGGTCAACACAGCGTCAGACACGACTGAAGCGACTTAGCAGCAGCAACTGCAGCAGTACTTACAAATATTCCCATTTACAAAGTGTTGAGAAATGTTTGTTCTTAATGTTCTGAGCCATTTAATGCGCTTATGTTTTCACACACAATTGGACACAGTTGCAGACTAATTCATGGTCATTCCTGCTGGGAAGCCTTATATACAGGACACTCCCCTGAACAGATGTACATCGATCTAATCTACAGTTTTCAAAACAAAATGCTGCTCCAACAACAGCATGACATTCAAAGAAAACAGCTAAAATATGCTTTGACGTGTTTGTCCTTCCCTGCTGAAGATGGAGATGTCTGACAATAAGGAAATTTTATTTCTGCACTTGACCTATATTTTGCTTTTTATATTTTTATTTCAGGCACAGGGAATGAATGTAGGGATTTTAGTAGCCCTCCTGAAATTATAAAAAAAAAAAAAATTGCCAGAACGATCCAAAGTTTAACGCACTCTGGAGAGATAAATCGATGATACATGTTATTTAAGGAAACTTGACATCACTTTACTGACCTCATGAGTATTTTTCTTCTGAAAGGAAATATCCTATTTTATTCTGCTTTTTTTTTTTTTGCCTCTCCAGGCAGCATGTGGAATCTTAGTTCCCCCACCAGGGATCAAACCCATGCCCCCTCCATTGGAAACCTGCTGTTTTAACTAATGGACCACCAGAGATGTCCCTCTCCTCTTCTTTAAAAAAAAAAATCCATTGACAGCTGTTGACTGTATTAGTATTTTAATAATATGGTACAGAGCATTAATTTCCCTTCTTTATTTTATCAGAATAAAGCAATGATGAAAGGAAATTTTCTCCAGTGTCCTTGTTGATTTAGAACTTCTCTTTTGCAGTCCCCACCATCTTTTGAAACTGGACTGACAGTTCACATTGCACTCAGATAAATGTGGAGTTCTTTATATTTTTTCATTTCTCTGATTTTGAATTAGCATGCACTGAAAGATTTTTGCTGTACAGTTCTATTAGATTTTACAATTTGATAGTTGTGTAACCACCACCATAATCAAGGTGCAGAATAGTTCTATCCACACCTCAGGATCCCTTCATGCTGACCCTTTGTGGTCAGTGCTTCCTCCCACCCACATCCTGGAAATCCCTTTCTCACCCCTAAAGTGTGCCTTTGCATGAATATCATCTAAATGGAATCATGCAACAGTCAACTTTTCGGGTCTGACTTCTTTCATTCAGCGTAAAGCATTTGAGATTCATCTGAATCAATATTTCAGTTTTTTCATTATCTTGAAGTATTTCATTTACTTGTGTTCCACAATTTGTTTATTCATTCGCTATTGGAAGAGCAGTTTCTGGTGATTATGTGTAACACTGCTGTGAATGCCAACATACAGATTTTGTGCAGATCTAAATTTTTTCACTTGGGAGTAGGAGTATATTATTGGCACTATAGAAATGACTCTATCTGTGTGATTTCTATTTCATTTGTTGTTTTTTGCGGGGAAAGCTGGGAGGTATTTCTTATTGAAGTATAACTGATGTACAATGCTGTGCTAGTTTCAAGACTACAGCAAAGTGATATAGGGCTTCCCTGGTAGATCAGTGGTAAAGAATCCACCTGCTAATGCAGAAGACACAGGTTCGATCCCTGGGTTGGGAAGATTCCCGTAGATAAGGAAATGGCAACCCACTCCAGTATTCTTGCCTGAAAATCCCATGGACAGAGGAGCCTGGCGGGGTACAGTCAAAGGAGTCACAGAGTCAGACATGACTTCATGAAGGAACAGCAACTATATATATATACATATTATACATATGTTCAAGGGCAAGCATTTATTTATGTATTATTAATTATCATTTATTTATTTATGTATTATTCATACATAGACTCAGAAGATCCCTTCTCCAACTCTCTTCTCTCTCTGCTGACTCCCATGAATCCCTTTCTCAGTCCTTCGGCTAGAAATCCAGCTGCTTTTCCTTGCCACTTTATAGGTCTGCTGCTGGGGGTCTCAGGGCAGGGCCTGGAGAGGAAAAAAGAGAGAGAGAAAGGGAAAACAAAACAGGAATTCTTCTATGCTGTGGTTCATATAGGCCCCTTTTCTTGGTTCTTTGGCTCTCCCCCAAAAAAGAGTTGACCTATTCTATGACAGGGCTTCCCTTGGCCCAAAACCAGAAAGAAAAGGGCGGGGGGGGGGGGGGAACAAAAATGAAACAGAAAATCTTCCACCTCTCCTTCAAGTTTGATTTCCCTACCAGTTCATCTATAATTTACTTCTCAGAGGTCCCAAATAGTTGTTCTTTATACTTTGATTTCTTCCCTTCCAGATGGGTTGCTATGGTTCAAAGGGATGTAAGTACCCCAATGTTCATTGCAGCGCTATTTACAGTAGCCAAGATATGGAAGCAACCTAAATTTCAGTGGACAGAGGAATGGATAAAGAAGATGTGGTATGTATATACAATGGAATACTACTCAACTATTAAAAAGAATGAAATAATGCCATTTGCAGCAACATGAATGGACCTAGAGATGACCATACTGAGTGAAGTAAGTCAGAAAAAGAAAAAAAATATGGGAAATCTAAAAAAAATGATACAAATGAATTTATTTACAAAACAGAATCAGACTCACAGACTTAGAGAACACACTTAAGGTTATGGGCGGTGGGGGGACGGCGGAGGGGTGGGGAAGAAGGGGAGGGATAGTTAGGTATTTTGGGATTGACCAATACACACTGCTACATTTAAAATAGATAACCAACAAGGACCTACTGTATAGCACAGAGAACTCTGCTCAATATTATCTAACAACCTAAAGAGGAAAAGAATTTTACAAAGAATGCTGCTGCTGCTGCTAAGTCGCTTCAGTCGTGTTCGACTCTGTGCGACCCCATGGACAGCAGTCCACCAGGCTCCTCTGTCCACAGGATTCTCTAGGCAAGAATACTGGAGTGGGTTGCCATTTCCTCCTCCTTTAAAAAGAATAGATACTTGTATATGTAACTGAATCACTTCCCTGTAGACCGGAAACTAACACAACATTGTTAATCAATTATACTCTAATGTAAAATGACGATTTTTAAAGAAGAAGGACTTGCTACTGGAGTTGAAACTCTGTCTAAATAATAACACAAATTAGGCTAAAAATTGTTCTTTTCCTCCTTTTTTCTTCATAGATGTCTCAATGTCACACTTTAGGCCAATCTTTAAATAGTAACATTTGCATTCAAAACACCAATGAATACATCACACACAACTTCAACCTCTTTTCCCTAACTGTAGACCAAATTCAGGCCCTCAGTAGAAGCATGCAAGGAAATACTCTCCTTACGTGAACAGTTTTTAAAAACTAAGCCTGGAGAGTGTGTCTGTCATTCTTTTGACCTCCACAAGGTTGATATCATGGTTAGTCTGTATCCTATACTCTTCATCTTGTTGGCTTAAATATATGGGGCAGTATAACTTAATCAGTGTGAACTGAATTGCATTTTAGAGAAAGCATTTTGCCAGCAGTAGAGTGTAATTACATTACAATGGGAGATTCCATTTTCATTAAATACTCTTACGTGAGATCTGTCTTAAAGTCTCTTCCATGTAAGTGTTAGGATTGGAGATTCACCCTCTGGACTCTCTGTAGGTAGATTAGTTCTGCTAATTTGGGAAGGCCAAAGTTTTTAGAGGGAAAGTTATTTTCATTGATTTGAAAATGAGAAAGGTTAGATTGTAGCTGAGGGGATTTGAGGGTTTCTTTCCTAGTCATTGAGACTGGAAGTTTCTCAGTGTGGGTAGGTCTTATAGTTTAAAGAATGTCCTTCAAATTGACCTATGACTGAATTTTTTTGTATACATTTTATGGAAAGCTGAGCTAAAACTGTTATGAAATTTATTTTATTGGGCTTTATTCTCTTTCTTCCTCTTCTTTACCACTGTTAGTATGGCACACATTAATAAACTATTGTTTAGATTCTGAGACATTGTTTCTTTTTTAAATTAATTAATCTATTCTTTTGTTGTTGTTTGGTTGTGCTGGTCTTCATTGCTGCAGGCAGGCTCTCTCTATTTGCAGGGATCAGGGCCTACTCTCCAGTTGTGTGTAGGCTTCTCATTGTGGTGGCTTTGCTTGCTGTGGAGCAGAGGCTCTAGAACCCATGGGTTCGGTAGTTGTGGTACACGGGCCTTGTTGCCCTGCGACATGTAGAATCTTCCTGGACCAGGGAATCGACCTGTGTCCCCTTCTTTGGTAGATAGATTCTTAACCACTGGACCACCAGGAAAGTTGAGACATTATTTCTTTCTAAGAATCATGACTACTAGAAATTGTTTTACTTGGATCGAAAATATAGAATTCAATAGTGAATTGTGGTAGCAGCTCAGGTTCTGGGGTCTGATGTATCCTGTGAGGGGGTGGGTGGTCCTTCTCATACGCAGTTTTTGACAGGAAAGAGCTCTCTACAGGAAAGACTTCTCTGCAGAAGCTCGCTTTTGTCCGTCACTTTGGCAAAGTTATATTGTCACTGACCTTAAACCAGGCATCCCCTTGCTCCACTCATCTCTAGTCCAAAAGACACCTTTCAAATCTTTTGATCAAGCAATATCTTGCCTAACCCCTTGGTTCTCTCCAAAGATCAAAGCAGTAGAGATGAAGAATAAGTAGCTAAGAGATCACCAGATCCCTTCTCTAGCTTCCCCTTCAGTAATCTCAAGAGCCAACTGTATGAACAAACTGTGTGAACAAGATAGCATCTAGGGACTTCCCTGGTGGTACAGTGGTTAAGACTCTGCACTCCCAATGCAGGGGGCCAAGGTTCAATCCCTGGCCTGGGAAGATACCACGTGCCATGTGGCAACTAAACCCATGAATCACAACTACTGAGCTAAAGCTCCAGAGCTGGGAAAACTCTAACCCTAACCCTAACCCTACTACTGAAGCCTGCGAGCCCTAGAGCCTGCCTGCTGCTACTACTGAAGCCTGAGAGCCTGAAGTCTATGCTCCGAAACAAGAGAAGCCTGTATACCATAAGGAAGAGTAACCCCATTCTCTGCAACTAGAGAAAGTCTATGCAAAAAGCAGTGAAGATCCATCCCAGACAAAAATAGTTAAAAAAAATTTTTTTAAGGAATACCTTATTTAAAAAAAAAAAAAAAAACCAACACTACTGGGACTTCCCTGAAACTCTGCACTCCCAAAGCAGGGGGCTCAAGTTTGATCCCTGGTTGGGGAACTAAGATCCATATGCTGCAGCTAAGCCCGCATGCCACAACTGGAGAAGTCTGCACACCGCAACAAAGACTCGGTGCATCCAAAATAAAACAAAACTCCTCCCCCGTGTGACTTGCAACAGACGTAACGTGGGGAAGAGACCCTGTGTGATTTCTGCAGTTGGGTCATAAAAGATAATCCGTCACTGGGACACCCACCTCTGGAGACCTAAGTCACAGTGTAAGCAGCTACCTCCCTGAAGCCACCATATCATGAGAAACCCAGATCACAAGGAGAGCCACACATAGGGATTCTCACTGACAGCCCCAGCTGGGTTTCCGCAGACCACCAGGTGCCAGCGCGGCATGGCAGTGAGGGTGATTCTGGGGTGAGTCTAACCCCAGCTATGGCGTTGCCTCCAGGCACCAGATCTCTCCAGCTAAAGGTCAAGGCTTTGTGGAGCAGGGACAAGTCACCCTTGTCTGAATTCCATAATCCATGAACATGTTATATTTTTTTAACCCTCGAAAGACATTTAATGTGCTTAGAACAAACACTTTACCAAAAGCATGAACACTTTTTTTGTTTGTTTTGTTTTGCCAATGGATATTTTTGCTTTTTTTTAATTTTTATTTTTTATCTTTACTTAGAGGATAATTGTTGTTGCTGTTGTTCAGTTGCTCAATCGTGTCCAACTCTTTGCTACCCCATGGACTGCACAATGCCAGGCTTTTCTGTCCTTCACCATCTCCTGGAGCTTGCTCAAACTCATATCCATTGAGTAGGTGATGCCATCCAACCATCTTATCCTCTGTCGTCACCTTCTCTTCCTGCCCTCAGTCTTTCCCAGCATCAGGGTCTTTTCCAATGAGGTGGCTCTTTGCATCAGGTGGCCAAAGTATTGGAGCTTCAGCTTCAGCATAAGTCCTTTCAATGAATATTCAGGACTGATTTCCTTTAGGGTGGACTGGTTTGATTTCTTGGCATTCTAAGGGAATCTCAAGAGTCTTCTCCAACACCACAGTTCAAAAGCATCAATTCTTTGTCGTTCATCCTTCTTTATGGTCCAACTCTCACATCCATACATGACTACTGGAAAAACCATAGCTTTGGCTAGATGGACCTTTGTCAGCAAAGCAGACCTTTGTCTGCTTTCTAATATGCTGTCTAGGTTGATCATAGCTTTTCTTCCAAGGAGCAAGCATCTTTTCATTTCATGGCTGCAGTCACCATCTGCAGTGATTTTAGAGCCCAAGAAAATAAAGTCTGTCACTGTTTCCACTGTTTCCCCATCTATTTGCCATGAAGTGATGGGACCAGATGCCATGATCTTCATTTTTTGAATGTTGAGTTTTAATCCAAATTTTTCAGTCTCCTCTTTTACCTTCATCAAGAGGCTCTTTAGNATCCCTTGCTATCTACAATCCAATAAATGTTGGCGTCATCTGCATATCTGAGGTTATTGATGTTTCTCCCAGCAATCTTGATTCCAGCTTGTGCTTCATCCAGCCTGGCATTTCACATGATGTGCCCTGCATAGAAGTTAAATAAGCAGGGTGACAATATACAGCCTTGATGTACTCCTTTCCCTATTTTGAACCAGTCCATTGTTCCATTGTCCATGTCCTGTTGCTTCTTCACCTGCATACAGATTTTTCAGGAGACAGATAAAGTGGTCTGCGATCCACACAGTCAAAGGCTTTAGTGTACTCAATGAAGCAGAAGTACATGTTTTTCTAGTTTGCATTGATATACAATATTTTTCTTTCTTTTTCTGACTTACTTCACTCTGTTTAATTCATAATTTTTTATACTTACGACTGATTCACGTTGTTGTATAGCAGAAACCAACACAACTTTGTAAAGCAATTATCCTCCAATTAAAAAAAAACTGGAAAAAACCAAAAAGTAATTTTGGACACAGTACACAAAATAATGATAACAAAACACAGTCACGTGGTCTGATCCTCTAAAGTAGAACTTTGGAAATCGCCAATCAATTTACTAATATTCTAAATGTTCATCCAATGAGCCTTGCAATGTTTCTACAGATTTGAATGTTGCACTGAGAACAGCTGCTCAAAGATAGTCCCTTCTGTAAATCTCCACAGTTTTCTAAAATCAAGTCACCTGTGAACTCATTTGAGTCCTCACTCCCTAAAAGCATGCTATGTAGTAAACTAGCAGGAAGTAGTGGGCAGAGACTGATTCCCAGGACATGTAATCCATGAATATATTAAAATGATTGTTTTACGCCATCACATTTTGGGGCTGTTCGTTACACAGCACTAGTAACCAATCCATACAGGATCAGCCTCCAATGAGTGCCCTGGGGCTGCTTTTTCCATGGGTTCTCTCTGCCTCTTTACCAGCTCCTTTCCTTTGTCCCTTGAATATTTCCAGAATAGCTATATATAGTATAGTGGCTGCTCTAGCTTCTAAACTCCATAGAGAAGAAATCTTGCAAAATCTAGCTCAGCCTTCTTCATACAATAGGCTCAAAATCGATATTGCTGTCAGATTTAAGTTTTATTAGATTCAAAAGTAGATAAAAGAACTTCTCTGGTGGTCCAGAGGTTAAGAATCTGCCTTGCAATGCAGGGGACGCAGGTTCAATCCCTGGTCAGAGGACTAAGATCCCACATGCCATGAAGCAGCTAAGCCCACATGCCGCAGCGACTGAGCCTGCCTGCTCTGAAGCCTGTGTATCACAACTAGAGAGCCTGAATGACACAGCTAAGACCTGATGCAACCAAATAAATAAATATTTCTTAAAAATCATTTTTAAAAGTCATTAAATTTTTTTAAACTGGAACAGTTTTCCTTTCTTTTCATTCTCCATTTTTTAACAGACCCACACACTACCACCAGGAGTCCTAAAGCCCATGTAGATGATCACACGTGTTAGAACCCTGAGGAAACCAACCCAGCCACAGTGGACTGATCCTTCCTTGAACACAGTTCAGAGGCAGTTACTGAACATTCTGCCTTTGAAAAAACAAAAGCAGTAGTATTTGCTTTCTTAAAGATCTAGAGGAATCAGCATTTTAGAGTTACAGGTTTCCATTAAAAGGCAGAAGTTTCCGAAGGACTTGGGAGCAGGTGGTACCAGGTGGCAAAAGAACTGACATTTCACAAAGGACCTACTCACAGCTGCCAAACACAGTTAAGTCTTCCGGATTTCAGCATTAACCCTGTTGTTCTTTAGTCGCTCAGTCATGTCTGACTCTTTTGGACCCCATGGACTATAGCCCACCAGGCTCCTCTGTCCACAGGATTTCCCATGCAGGAATAATGAAGTCGTTGCCATTTCCTTTTCTAGGGGATCTTCCTGACCCAGGAACTGAATCTGCATCTCTTGCATCTCCTGCATTGGCACGCACATTCTTCACCACCAAGCCACCAGGGAAGCCGGGCATTAACCCTAGAGCACAATTTTTCTTACCCTTCTCTCACTTTGGGCTTCAGCTCAATACATCAATACAGCCATTATATTACACAGTAACTCTTCTGCAGCTTTAAAGTCCAAATTTGGCCTTTCTTACAGGCTGTATTTCAGCTTTTATTTCTTTCTCTCTGAGCTGGCCCTGTTCTTGACTGCCAAGTAGCAGGTGGTATGATTCCATCAACATGACCATGGCAATATCACAAATATCGTCATTCTGTTTTTTTCCAGTTCTTAAGAGATTCCATAATGGAATTAAGTTGCTGGAGTGGCCTTTTCCATTTGTGGGGCCCTGCAGTGGCCTTTCATAATGGCAACACCCTATAATGCGTTTCTCACCATAGCGTAGGGTCTCACATAGCAGGGTGCCAACGTCCAGAAGGACTTCTACGTTACCTTTGGGCTTGGGGACATACTTACAATCTGGTTGCTAAAGCAGAGGTTGGGGAAGCTGAAGGACAAAATTCTTCTTCCTGATAATGAATGTGATCACACATAGCATCAAGTTGAAGCATTAACTTTATCCGTAGCAATAAACACATTACTTTAAAAATACCTGAAATTTAAAACAGATTAGAAGTGAACTTGGATATTCATTGGTGATCATTTTTCTTTTAACACGAAACCATTTAGATTGACATTTTATAGGTTTGACTGCAACTAGGCTGAAAAGCAGAAATGACCAGCCATGAGTAGCCTAAAGTCGACGTGTAGAAAGAAGATGCTGAGAATTCTTGCCCTGGATCAAGCATAAGAGGCCTAGGAATTTAGGGCATCAATGAGAAAATGAGCACATTTAAGGGCTTCAAATGTTAAACAGTTGCTTCTCTTCATCAAATGAAGAGCCTGAAATAATCCTGACTCTTGAATTCAGTAATTGCTTTGTCAGGCTAGCCTTGAAGTTTAACTTATACATCTATATTTCTGATCCACATCTGTCTCTTTAATAACTTTTTTCACCTAAACCACACTTCCAGCTCACAATTCCCTTTCACATAGACAACGCTTTCCAGAAAAGCACTCAGCAGTCTCCGCTGTCTTCTCCCCACTCTCAGGCAGGTTCTGTTCCCTGTGCCCACCCCCACCCATAGGGACCAGCCTTGACCTCTGATGCATCAGCTCTGAGTCACCGCTTTTCTGTTCTTCCAATAACAAGGTTGAGGTAGCTCTTCCCGAAAGA